TAGCTAAAAGGTGAAAACCTCAAGGATGAGCAATTAAGAAAAGTTTCTTTTTCTGAGGAGGCAAAAAAACTGAATAAACTTTAAATATAATTTATCTTATTACTAATTTTTCATTCTCCATCTTGTGAATAAAGATCAAAAAACAAAAACAGTAAACCCTAGAATGAATTAACTTTTATTTAAAATTTTACTAACAATGTTTCTGTTTTGTGACTCATCTATCTTATAGAATACTAATTGCTTACTCTTTTGAGATCTGCATAAATCACAACTCTGCAAGTGTCCTCCCCGGCCTGAACTAAAGGATTATTAAAAATGTAAAACATTTTATTTATACGAACCGTTGGCAGACAATGGAGACATGAAACCCATGCAGTGAATACATGGGACATTTGCCAGGTCTTCTGCAGAGTGCCAGTTGGCATACAATAGCCAGTTCCAAGATTCAGTCAAAGTAACTTGTGAGGCTCATTTCAGTGAAATATGCATCAGTAAGCACTACTGATGCAATAGTACGTTGGAAATACTTGTGCTGAATTATTTTTTTCAAGTATATATATTGTTCAAATGATACATCATATTTAGATAATTGGATCTTCCTAAAGCCTCACTATCAGATAAAAAAAATAAACATTCGTTTAAGGCAGACAGATCAAAAACAAGGCCCACGGGTCGGGACTGGCCTGATATGTTGGTTCTGTCTGGACCGGGGACCTGCTCTGGAAACAGTGAAAGACTGGCCTGCCACATCTCGGCCTGGCCAAGGTCAACCGGGCACTGATCTACAACCTGGTTGCATCCATCAAAGCCAGAACGCGCTCAGCCTTAGATCCCTGGGGCAGCCCTGCTCTGTCCCCTGGGTCGTTCCCAAGCAGACTCCAGCATCCCTGCTGACTTCACCCAGGACTCCGGCACTGGTCGTCTCCTTTGCGCACACCCAAGGGGCGGGGCAAAGGCAGCGGGGCAGCTCTTTGTTGATTTCAGGGCTGCTCCGTGGAACCTTCATTCCTTCCTTCCCTCCTTCTCATCTATTTCCTTCCACCGTGCTCAGGAAGGAGTGATGGGGGGGGGAGAGATTGCCAGCGCTGCCATGCTGCTCAGTCCATCAAAGCCAGAAAACGCTCAACCTTAGCCCTGGAACCCCGCTGCCTCTGTCTTGCCCCCTGGGTGTGCACACAGGAGACAGCAAGCACCAGCATCCTGGGTGAAGTCAGCCTATGGGGCAAGACAGCCAGCAGGGACATCAGACTCTGCTTGTGCGTGCGCACAGCCAGGAAACAGGGTGGGGCTGCCCCATGGAGTGCATTCTGGCTTTGATGGATGCAACCAGGTTGTAGATCAGTGCCACCACCCCTCCTACAGCACCACCAGCCTCACAGCCACGAGGCTTTCTTTCACAGGGACAGCTCCTGCCTGTCCATGTGGGATAGCAATCTCTGGCAATCTCTCCCCTCCCATCACCCCTTCCTGAGCGTGGAGGAAAAAAAGAGATGAGAAGGAGAAGGAACAAACGGAGGAAAGAAGGAACGGAAAAGGGAAGGGAGGACGGGAGGATGGGAGGGAGGGAGGGAAAAAAGGAAGGAAGGAAGGAAGGAAGGAAGGAAGGAAGGAAGGAAGGAAGGAAGGAAGGAAGGAAGGAAGGAAGGAAGGAAGGAGAGGCAACTTGATTGGAGATGCCCCAGTTCACGCAGTTCTGCTTCAATCCTGGATCCATTGAGACTTGGGCTCAAAGGAGAAAGCAATTTTGTGTTCTCTTTTGTCACAGACAGGACTTTATTGGCAATCCAAGTTAACACTGGTATTCTTGAATTGTGAACTCTTAGGAAAGTATCACTTCCTTGTGTGTTGCAAACAGCCATTTCTAGTGGGGAAAACAGGATAAAGCAGGGTAGGGGGAAATATTATCCTTTGCTATATTTCCAGTCTGAATTAAACCATGGCAGGGTCCCTGCAGGAGAGCTCTTTTATGGATTATGTATTAATAGAAAAGCAACTAACTTACCTCTGTTCCTAAATGCTAAAGCTGTTGCACATAAAAAACAGAGAAGCTCTGATCAACTATCACAGCCACCAGTTTGACACTTCTGCTGTACTGTTGTCTGTGGATGCTCCCACTAAATGCAAGCATGGGATAAACTGAGCCTGGTTTGTTCTCGGTCTTTTAAGAGGCCACAGACTACTAGCAAAACTGGCATTTGATCACAAGGCAAAGAAATGTCTCCCCTTTTGCATTTGCGCATCCAAGAAGGGACAGGAAAGGAGAAAGGGAAAGAGGAAAGACAAAGGAGGAAAGAGGGGAAGGAAGAAGGAAAGGAGAATGAAGAGGGAAGAAGGGGGGAAAGGAAGGAAGGAAAATAGATTATAATGAGAGTGAGGAAGGGTCTGAGGGAAGTCCTGACATCACTTGGCCATGACCAGCCCTGCTGCCCTTTCGCCATACCCTTGTCCCGTCCTCCTGACCTCTCCTGATGATTTCCCATCTTATCACTGAGGATGCTTTGGTTACAAAGCAGGGTCTCCTTGCAGGGAGAGGGAGTAGGCCTACCTCTGACCCACATTTTTCCCTCCTGCAACACCATGAGCAACTTGACCAAGGAGAGAGAGCACAGCAGCAGCAGTCTTGAGGAGGTGGTAAGTGCAGCTGGGTGCCCCCTTGGGGAAGTGGGGCTATGTTAGGCTGGGCTGTGGGGTCCCCGAACTCAAGGGCTGGGTGCTTGACCTCCGCTGCCCAAGACTCTGCGCAGCCTGTGCCACCGTCTGGGGGCCCCCCGCACGGCCTGAGAGGGACGGTAAAGCTCCTCCATTGGACCATGTCCTGGCGCTCACCCCAGTCCCACCCTCCTTCGCTGGAGACCCTTGGATCAGTCCCAGGTCTGCACAGGTGCCCCTGATGCGAGCGATGTCAAGCTGGCCACACCCACTCAGTAGGCCATGCTCACCCAGTAGGCCACACCCAACCCAGCCATGCCCACCCAGTAGGACACACCTATGCACCCCCCCAGGGCAACCACAGTGCTGATGCGGCCCTCAATGAAATTTGAGTTTGACACCCCTGGTTTAAGGAATCCTATATAAATAGGATTTTATTTCATTAATTCCATGTTAGCATCTTTGAAATCTGCAGGTGCAAAATAGATTTAAAATTTATTCATTTGCTTTGGAACTTACAAAATAAAAGTTTTAGCACCCCTTCTTGTAAAGGGGAGAAAAACAATCATACTACTACTGGAAATTGCACACAGTAATCTCTTTACACCTATAAACCTTTTGACCTTTAGATAAATCCAAGGTAAGATTTGCCAGGTGAAATACTTTGGACAAATATGTGATACAGCTTTCTATGCTGACACCTCAAGTCTGGAATACTTTTCCTAAACAGATGAGCTAAATATCAACTATACGAGCATACAACTAATGCTTGTTCCACTATGCATTTTTTAATAGTTACTGGCTATGATAGCAACAGCTTGTCTTTTTTGTGCAATATTGTTCTAAATTCTTTCCTTTTAGTCCCTAGTATCCAATGTTTAAAGACTTGTCACATTTTTTAAAAAAAGAATTCTAAACAAACACATTTTTCCACAGAAAAAAATCTTAACTATAATTAATTCCAAAATCTTATTTCAAATTTATCTGGACCCTTAGATCATTTCTAACTTTCTAATATCAATTTTTTGATTGCTCTTTTGCTATTAATCAAAAGAACCTGTATTTAAAACATCTCTGGTGAAAGAGTGAAGGAAACCAATCCAGTATTGTAATACCTGTTGATCCAAATGTTCCTGACAGTTTAAAGTATTTTTAAACTGCCAATTCTCTTATCTTGCTTCTTCAAAGTCCATTTATATCACCGCCTCATGAAATTTTCATTCTGCAACTTATCTTTAACTTTTAAAAATTCAACAAATGCAAAATATCCCAGTTGGAATGAATGCTTGATTAACGAAGCCTGGATTAGACTGTAGAAAAAAAATATACTACACAGGCTATGGAGAAAATAGGAGAGAAGAATATTATGCATGTTCACCACCTTCACAGAGTTACTTATAAAAATAATAAAGGTGAGATAAAAATCAATCAATAAATAAAATATTCATCCAATAAACATTTTCTGTTTAATTAATTGGAAGGAAATAAAAGATGGGAAAAATAAATTATCCTCCTATAATAAAATATTCAATTTTCCGGATTGAACCATGCTGTCCATAATCTAATGAAAAATATTAATTATTGACAATTTAGTCGTGAACACATTTACCACAGAGTGAGCAACTTCATACAACGCATTTGAGTTATACCTGAAGAAAAATGCTTTAGATTGTGGATCATTGCAAATACCATGAAATTCCAAAGTGAAAACAACTCTTTCAAAGCCATAAGTCTGGCTTCGGTCCCAGGCCTGGAGTTGATGTTCAATGGCACGTTTTGTTTTGTTTTGTTGGTTTTGCTATTAGATTATTTCAGTCTGAACCGTCCGTTGTTTTTTCTAGTTTTTGCGCTTAAGATTCACTGGAGTTGGACTACCAAGCAATCAATTCTACAGTATGTACATTTAGAAGTAATTCTTATTTTGCTTCCAAAGAAAACCACATCGACACTTTAAAGTCTCAATGAACTCAGGAAAAGAAAAGTCCATAGTCGTCCTATACACTTACATAAGAAGTCTCAGTGAAGTAAAGACGGTTTACTCTCCAGTTAATAATGCATCAAAACACATTCTAAAACTTCGCTAGTTCGACAGCGGAGCCCAGTACTCTACATAAGGGTACCTTCCCCTTCACCGGATACCTTTAAACAGAAGATTATCAGGTACGTTTTACTTAGGGTGAAAGCAGCTCTTTCAAACTGCATGAGTCTACGGTCTCATCTATTAGAACGAATACGGTCCAAATAATTTTTTCCGGGCCTTCTTTTCTTTGATGGGCAGAATTCGGAACACGTGACCGCAGAGACCTCCTTCGCGCTGTGCGCCTTCTCCCGCGTCCGCACTTTTTCCCGCGACTGCGCTCGTGCTGGTGAAAGCGTTAGGGAGGGACGGCGTTTCCTAGAATGCTGCTTTGAGCGAGGGGTGTCGTGGGAAGAGAACTTAGAGAATTTGAGGTGAGGGTGGATGGCTAACGGCACGAATTTCCGCGTTGTACCCGGGGGAGATGAGAGCAGTGAAAGCGACGATGATGGCTGGGGTATCGGGTTCATGTCCGAGGCCCAGGTGAGAGGCGATGACGGCCGAGCAGGTGCAAATTAAAGAGTGATTCGATTTCCTTGGGGCAAGCCAAGGCGCGTGCTTAAACCACGCAGCTGCTTCTTTTTCCTCATCACCTTCCAAAAACTTTGTTGTAGTAATAATTTTGAAAAGGAGGTGAAGTTAGAACGGAAAGAATAGTAAATATACATTAGGCCCAAGATCATCCAGTGATCTTCATGGGTAAAAGTTTATCATTTCCTAATTTTAAATCTTTATCTGCTACACCTGATTTTATTCTTTTCAGGGTATTTATTTAAGTGCATGCTAATTGTAAATTAAACCCGATAAGCACGTTGCATGTTATTCATATATCATAATTGTGATAAGTATTTTGAAATACAGTATAGGAGATAAATAATAAGTCTTTTACCCTCAAATTTGCTGAATTTGTACAATACATATGTACAAGTATGTATGTTGATAATACTGGTTACAGTAATGATCAATGCGTTGTATCAGTTCAAAGTTTCAGACTAAAAAACCAAAATCCCACTAGTCCAGCTATTAAGTTGATTTTCTCAAATTGTATATTTTTTATCTTCTGGAATGAGAGATTGTGTTGTCTTAAGCATTTTTATAAATCCCACATTGCACAGTAGTGCTCTTGTAAATAAATAGGACTGTAACCTTGTTGTAGGATATCAGTAATTCCACACAATAGTAATGAAACGTTGACAACAGTTAAGACAACAGGAGTGACTTCAATTGCAGTGGCTATTGGTTGAAGTCAATGATAAACCAGCCTTATACTTGTGGTATGACATTCTAATTAAGAGCCAGTTCAGTGTAATGGTTAGGAACAGTTGACTGCGTGATATTGGGCCAAACACTTTCATCTTTAGGAATGTCAGTGGTACATATGAAATCTTGGCAAGAAAACTGCAGGAACTTATCTAGGTAGTCACCAGAAGTCAACATTATTCACTCAGAGGTTGCCCCCCCTTCCCAAAAAAGGTAGAGAGAGGATTCTAATGGCATTTGAATCTCATCGCAATTTTCTCTTTACAAATGCTGGCCTGTGCATTTTGATTAGCTAAACAAATATTTTTGCTTTAACCTCTTTTCTGAATGTATACAATAATTATCGGTGCACCTACTTTTTTATCACACAAAAAAATACAGGGGTGCGAAGGTACATTTGTGGTTAAAAGTGATCTTAGAAAAATAAAATATTCTTGAATTTCATTTTTAAAATGTTTGCTTGTTTTGTAACTCATGGAGCAGTTCATATAGCACTTCTGCTGATAATGAACTAGTAAATTTATTTATTGTAGTATAAATCTCTTATTTATCTAGTGTTTAGATGAAATCTTGCATACCCAGGATAAAAATGAAATTTTCAAAAAAGCATTAACTGCTGGAAACGTGTCTGTCATTGAGGAACTCTTAAATACAGGTATGACAAATGAATTATCAGATAAATTTAACACTTCTTCCTCTTCCAGGCACAGAATAATTGTATTTAATTAAATACTGTATAAGGTCTTACCACATACTTTTTCATCAAATTTCTACTTTTTGGTTTTTGTATTTGTGAAGGTGTTTCATTGGAAAACAGCTGTCTTCTGGCAAGAACAAATAGGTTAGGACCAGAATATCAATATATCCCTTGTTGAATATGAAGTAAAATTTCTGATAGGTTAATAGAAAAAAAGAATAATCAATGTACTCCAAGAACAAATACTAGAATTAACTTTTTTTTCTTAGTTGGAAAGAAACTGAAATTTTGAACACTTCATAATGGAAGTGAATTACATATTCTGGCAATCAGAAATTTTGACTATGAGACATTAGGTTAAAATGACCCACCTTAAAAATATTAAAGAATTGAATTGGTTCATACTTCAATTTTCCTGTTTTGACAGACTTTTTATATGGATAATTGAATGTCTTTTATGTGTATAATGAAAGTGATAAATAATTGCTATGAATGTGCAATACCAGTAAATTACATTTGCCAACACATTTTAATTTCTGTGAAACAATGTAGTTTTTGACTTAATTGTATAAATCAGCGATGGCGAACCTTTTAGAGACTGAGTGCCCAAACTGCAACCCAAAACCCACTTATGCATCGTCAGGTGCTGGGTGGGTGTGGCCATTGGCTGGGTGCGGCCCATTGGCTGGGCATGTATGGTAACGGCAGACTGGGTGGGACTAAAAAGTTCAATCAATCAATTCCAACTTTGCAAGATCTTTTTTTTTCCCGCGAGAAGTTGAAATTGACTGATGAAATTTTTTTTTTTTTTTTTTTGCACACGGCGGTGGAGGCCTAAAGCGAAAAGGTTTTATAAAACCCAGCTGAAGGCCTAGGACTGGAGTGACAGCACGTGTGCCCACAGAGGGGGCTCTGAATGCCACCTATGGCACGGGTGCCATAGGTTCGCCACCACTGGTATAAATGAATATTATAATGGTATCTTTTTTGTTTTATAAAAAATGAAGCTCTTTTGAAATAAAGGATATTATCCATAGTTATATAGCAATATAAATTTTGTGGTTTTTGCAGATATTACAGAAATCAAAATTCCTTATTGGTCTACTCATTTGGTTTCTATGATTTGTAGCAGATTGGTGGGTGAAGGGACAGAGTGATCTGATATTTACTATTTAATTATCAATCAGCAGTGTAAATCAGAGTTGCCTGAACCTGAGATGGGTGGCAAATAAAATAGATAAACAGACTGACTAACATAAAATATTGGCGTAAAAAAAATATATTTAGAACTGGCTAAATGTAGCCAGCATTACGCAGATATAAGCCACCCAAATTGGATAAAAATTAGTACAAACTATATCAGTATGTCACAAGTCAATCTATCACAAGTTTGTTGGTAGCCTGCTGTATTTACATGCTATGGAATGAGAGGTTGCTTATTTGGAACCTATAGTTATTAAAGGAAAAGGCTGGTCTAGAATAGACAGATATTATAGAAATAAGAAACTGGGAGGGCTTTTTTATTCAGAGCATCACTGGGGAGACTAAATAGTGGGTTGTGTTTAAATGAACTTTTGGCAGAGCCATATGTAGATAGTGGATGACCCCATCCATAATACCTCTGCCTAATATTCAATTTTCTTGTGTAAAATTCTATAATAGAATATATACTACAGATTTATGTTTTATTAAATATGTATATAAATGTTACAGGTATAAATGTAGAATCTAGCCTTAAGTTTGGATGGACTCCTCTCATGTATGCAGCTAGTGTTGCGAATGTGGAACTTATGTATCTCCTTCTAAGCAGAGGTGCAAATGCAAGCTTTGAGAAGGGTGAGTTTTTATAAATGGACTGTTTCAAGGATGTAATCCTAAATGTTCTGTATAATAATAAAAAAATGTTTATTTAAAGAAACAATGACTGTGCCAAACCAAACTAAACATATCATGTGTAAAGTATTCTTTTTATTCTGTCAGTACTTCCAAAAATACTTTGCCACTACTTGTGTGATTTTCTTCATTATCCTACAATTGGTTAATTTGCTTTTGGATTGTGCCCTTTTACTTTACTTTTACTTTGTTTTTAGTATCATGTAGAATTGCAGTTTTTTAAATGTGATCTTTCTATTGGTAAGAGCAATACATCAGGAGTCAGCAGTCTTAACCTATTTTTAGACCATTCAGTCCTAAAATGAGGGATCTACATTTTTATTCTTTAACATTTGTTTTGGGGAGTAAAAGAACAAAATGTATGTCATAACCATGCCTTTAACCTGAAGTTATTCTGAAATTCCCCCAAATCAAATACATTTTTTCTGTTGTGGAAGAGTTTTAAGTGACTATATTGAGCCTTCCTTCTTTTTAGAAATAGAAAGACATCAGCTTCATTCCTTGGAAGCTACAACTAACGGAAACTCAATATAAATAGTCCTTAACTCATGACCACAGTTGAGCCTGAAATGTTGGTCATAAATCATTATGTGAGATGTCCACATGACTCCTTCACTTAAGGACTGCAGTTTGGCTCTTCCAATTGTGATTGTTAAGCAGACAGAATGAAAAAGCTGCCTCCTGAAAGAGGGATGGCAAACTCCCTTCTGTGTATGGAAGGGAACTCCTGCACTGGGCTGGTGTAGGAGAAGGAATGGTAGAACCTGGGGGCAGAGTCAAAAGACCAGTCAGCCTAGAACAGCGGTTCTCAACCTATGGGTCGCAACCCCATTTGGGGTCGATCAACCATTTCACGGGGGTCGCCAAGCAAGGCTGTCCGCCATTTTTTTCCCCTTTTCCGGCAGGTGCCTTACCTCCCTTGGGCTGGGCCAGCTGGTGGTCCAGCCGGTGGTCGGCCTGCTCCGTCTCTGCCGCTTGCCAACTACGCCTCGGCCGGCACAGGGGGCGGCACCACGCATGCACGGCGTTCCGGGCAGGAAAAGTCCTCAACTTATGACTGGTTGGGTAGTCCTCAACTTATGACCGGTTTAGTCCTCGACTTACGATCGGTTTAGTCCTTGACTTATGACCGGTTGGGGGTTGCAGCATTAAAAAGGTTGAGAACCACTGGCCTAGAATCTCTACAAAGCTACAAAGGGACTAAGTCCAACCTCTCTTGAGTTATGTTGACCCTTATCCAATGTCAAGATAGTGCTAATCGGTAATTGAGTAATTAGTAATAAGTCAGTTTAATTAGAACTTCATGCGTTGTCCTGATCTTTCATGTCTGATAGCTGGAGAAACAAAGTTCAGCTCTTTGAGATCCTTCCCCTCTGTACTGAGAATAGAACCCAAGTGTTCAGCTGGAGAAATGAAGTCTGGATTTTCAGGATCCTAGCTTCTTTCTCCAACCCAGCACAGGAGTCCATTCCCCCATATGTCCTGGTGCATATAGGACACATGTGTCAAACTCATCACGTGATGTGTCACAACATATCGCGACTGTTTTTGCATTGCCAACAATGGGGTGGACGCGGCTTCGGTATGATGAAACCGGCCTGCGGGCCGGCAGTTTGACATCCCTGAGGTAGGACAGGGGAAATCCTTCAGCAGGTACCATGTTTCCTCGAAAATAAGACCTAGCTTGATTTTTACGTTCACGCCTAATATAAGCCCTATCCCAAAAATAAGCCCTAGTTAAGATCTTTCCCACTCCGTCCCACTGTCTGGTTGTACGAGGTAGGGTGAGGTACAAACATAAAAATCAAGCTAGGGTGATGGGGTGGAGTTGCACCCCGCACCGGCTTACCTCAGAGCCCGGCAGCCAGGCCTCCCACACCCTGACACTTGCCTTGCCTCACAGCAGTGACACCAGTATCAGCACCCCTGTCTACTTCTGGTTGCTGGTGGCTGTTCGCAGGAGGCCGCTCGCGGGCACCACGACACAACATACCATGTAGTGTCCTGCCGCAAGGGGCTGAGAGCCACTGCAGAAGAAGTCGGGCAGTGGTGCGACAGTTGCCAGGGCACGGGAGGCCTAGCTGCAGCGATCCTAAGGTAAGCAGGTAAGACATCCCCCGAAAATAAGACCTAGTACCTCTTTTGGAGGCAAAAAAAAGTAAGACCAGGTCTTATTTTAGGGGAAACACTGTAGTAGCAGCTTGCAACCTTCCCTGCTGGCTTCCCTATTGACTTTCTAAGCAGAGAACATTGCAAATGGCAATCACGTGATTGTAGGGTACTTGGCAACTGAATATAAGTGTGAATAGATTTCCTGAGCTCCTGAAATGTGATCATATGACCACATGGATATTGTAATAGTCATAACTTCAAAGACAGGTTGTGAGTAACTTTTTCTGAATCCCTTGTAACTTCACAATTATTAAATGACCACTCGTAAGTTAAAGACTGCATGTTATCTCCAGAGTAGAGATAGCAAACCTCCATGTACCCATTAAAGGAGAACAAAGTCAAGAGCTTGCTCTGTCTTTATCTTTTGTTTGAGTGCACCCCAGAAAGGACTTGTTGATTAACATGAGAAATAAAATTCTAAGATGTGTCTTGGCCCTATTCAACTGGTCTGTTTTACGTTTTTGGATATCTTGGTGTGAGACTAACATTGAAAAATTCATTTTACAATTCAGTTATGTGTTATGTTTGTAATAAGTATAGTTTTTGTATTTATTATGCCTGGTTTATTCTACAGATTTAATGGTGTTTTTTTCAACTTGTTTCTTAACAATTGCTGTTTAGATGATTATTCAGTATTGATGGCCGCATGTACTGCCTCTGGTTCAGAAGAACAGATTTTAAAGAGTGTAGAATTACTGCTTTCAAGGAATGCAAATCCTAATGCTGCATGCAAGTAAGCACACTATATATATATGCAGATGTGTATATATGGGGAGAGAGAGAGAGAGAGAGAAATATATATTTAAAAATGATTGCTGAATACAGCTAATTAACTAATAAAATATTATATTATTCTTTTTATTGGATATCTACTGTTATCTTTATTAGATCTTTTGTTTTTTAACACTCACTCCCAAGTTCATTTGACAAATGTTTGACTATTTATTTGTAATATATTTATATGTAATGTATTCTGTATTCTCCATAAGGACATAGATAATTGCATCTAATTGTGTCTGTCTATTAGAGCAGGGCTTTTCAACCTTTTCACAGACTGTACCACCTTCAGGACATGACAATATTCCAGTGGCTTAGCAAGGTGTCAAAAACTTAATGACCAAAAAAAGGGAAAAAAGTGATAAAGTACACCTACTTACCACACTTTTAATGGGAAACCTGTGCCTGTTTCTCTGACATTAATCTTTGCACTTGTGGCTGGAGAGTGCTTACTGATAGAATTAAGTCAGATTCTAGCTGAAGACAATTGCTTTCCTTTTACTCACTCCGTCTCTTCCAAGGCCACTTGCTCACTCGCTAACTCCTCCGTTGCTTGGAAAGGCCCCTCTCACTTGCTCTCTCCTTGCTGCTTCACTAACAAAAAGCTTCTTCCCACCAAAACCTTTTATAGCTTCTCTCTCCGCCCTCCTTCCCTTTTCTCTTCCGGGTGAACTGGAAGCTCCAATCAGCATGTAACCGCACGTCAGTCCTGGGGCTTCTGCAGCCCTGCAACTCCAGCTGGTCTCCTGCAGGTCTGTGCAGCAGCACTTTTAGCTGGTTCCCTCTTCCGTTACACTTGGCTACACTTGGTACAATGGTACTTTATCTCCAGGTGATAAAGTACCATTGGTGGTACACGTACCACTGGTTGAAAAGCCCTATATTAAAGGAATGGAAGAGCAGATGTTTTCCATTTAACTTCCTCATACTATTAGTCTGTGCTAGCAAATAAATTCTTGGAGATTTATAGCAGGTTTCATGGACCTAGAGTAGAATATAGTAATTGAAATTGATTTTTTCAAAAGAGAATTGTTATTATACAGATAAGTCTCAATATACATTTATGATTTATTTAGGTTGCTAAATAAATCATTTTAATGCTTTATTTAATTGACATCATATTTCTGCAAAAAGGAGTTGATTATTTAGAACTAGTAATGAAGTGTACTATGATTGCTATTTCTATAGATGAATCTGTCTAGAGAGATATTCCCTTTCTCCTTTTTAAAAACTATTGTTCGTAAGAGCTATAGATTGTAAATTCCTGGGAGCACATTTTTATTTGTCCCTGTGTAAATTCCTTTGGTATTGTGCAGTTTCTTAAATTGCACAGTACCAATAGACCTGTTCAGTTTTCTAATCTTGAACATTTAGTACAAACCTATACATGACCCCCACAGACGAAGTTCCATTAAACCTATTTAAGCATAACTGAAACTTCAGCTTTATTTTTTTTTCTAATTTAAAGAATTGAAACAGTTGCAGCAGCTGAATTGGCAAGAATCAAGACCTTGGGTTCTTTACTATATTAATCTTATGCATTAATTTTCAACTACAGTTAGTCCTCAACTTAGGACCACAATTGAGCCCAAACAAGTGAAACATTTGTTAAGTGAATTTTGCCCCATTTTATGACCCTTCTTGCCAGAGTTGTTAAGTGAATCATTGCAGTTGTTTAGCTAGTAACATGGTTGCTAAGTGAATCTGGCTTCTCCACTGACTTTACTTGTCAGAAGGTCACAAAAGGGGATCACATATGACCCCAGGATACTACAACAGTCATAAATATGAACCAGTTGCCAACTATCTGAATTTTGATTACTATGGCTATGGGGATGCTGCAGCAGTCATAAGTGTGAAAAATGGTCATAAGTCACTTTTTCAATGCCTTTGTAACTTTGAATGGTCGCTAAATGAATTGTTGTAAGACAAGGACTACCTGTAATAAAGTGCTTTGAAGTAATAATTTCTGTGTTAGAAGTATTTACCAATAATACGGAGCATTTCTCTAGTGGAATGAAATGATTTGAGTAGCTTATGTGATGGCCTCCAAAGCTGCATTCCTTTCCATTCCTTTAGCATGTGAAGAGAAAATAAGTATAGGGAAAGAACTAATTATATTCTAGTTTAAAAAAGATAATTTTGCTGGGTCAGTCTTCTTATTACAGGTTAATGGGTAGTGTGTAGCTAGAATAGTGTGATCACTTATATCTGTGAATATTGAATAACAGGGAGAAAAGATTAAGCTTGTGCATCTTCCTCTATATTTAAATTTTACCCTGTAGTTGTACCAAATTGTAATATATATTTTACCCTTCGAATGGCTAGTACACATTGTCATGTGTGTGTTTTTTTTAACCACTGTACTAAGTTAGAGCTAGATAAATGGTAGGTACTTCCTTCAAAAATGATATGTAAAAGTTATTTTAGTCTCATGTGAGCAAACCACCTCTGTGATATTCATTGAAGCAGCTTATATTTTTTCAGACTTCTGTATAAGAAGTATAAGAAAATGGAGTTGCTTGAAAAGTCCCATCAAGTTTAATCAGTTTCTTACAAGCAACAGAATATGTATGGAGATTCCCAGGTCATGGTTGTCCAAAGGTGCTTTTCAAAAGGCAACTGGTTTTTCTTGTTTTTTTCCTTGAAAACATTTCACTTTTCATCTGGAAGAAAGATGGAAGTAAAATGTTTTCAAGGAAAAAAACCAAAAAATTTCAATTGCCTTTTGAAAAGCACTTTTGGAAAAAGCAACAGAATATTTGTTCAGGCTCATGCAGGATCTGAAAATAAAAAAGCTGTTTTAATATACAATGGAAAAGTGTTACAGTCATGCAAGATATCAAGCATGTATCCAGAAACATTTTTGAATTGTACAAAGTCTTAGTAAATGGCCTTCTTCCTTCATACCACAGTGCTCTATAAGTCAGTCTGGGTGTTTACAGGGGTTGGAAAATGATCAAAATTTGTCCTTTAAAGTTGTCATTTCAACTTTTGAGTTTGGTTTAACTTCTGTGTCATAAATAGTACTATAAGAAAGGGGTGATGTCATTTCCTGATGTCTGTTGATAGACTTGCCTAGTAGATGGAATAGGCAATAATTAACTATCTACAGTGAGGCCACATCTGGATCTATGTGATCCAAAGGAGGAACAAAATGTTCCAGAGAATTCTAGAATATTCTGCTTGTGAACTCGGTTTTTCAACATTTTTGGTTACTAATTTGGAGTCCTGTGTGAAGTAACATAAAGGATGTTTTATTCTAAGTAGGAGCTTTTTGTTGTTGTTGATTGATTGATTAATATATGAGGTATTTAACCAATTACTTAATATTTAATTATATCAGAAAATATTTATTGCTGCTGATAAGTACAATGTTAGCACTACTGTGTGATTTCATTGTCCTTGACTTTATCATTTTGTGATGGTTAATTTTGTTAAATGACATCCCAGTACTTGCAAATAGCCTGGGAAAAGTGTCACATTTATTCTTTAGTTAATAAACTTTATCACAAATGTATCTAAATAGAGATAGAGAACAGTTACATAAACTTAATAATTTACTATAATGTAGTTCCTTGTCATGGAAGAAAAATTATCAGCCATCAGTTTGTAGCATTTAAAAAAATACTTCCTGTATGTGAGCTATAACTATTACAATGTTCCTTGTTCTGGAGACATACCCTTCAGCATCAGTTTAATTCATACGTTCCTTGGCATATTTTTAATATAAACAAATGCCATTCAAAAGTGAATTGTACAATGTTGGGTTTTCCATGTAGTACATGAAGACGAACCCCCCCAGAAGCTTACATAATAAAACTAGTCCAGTACTGAGAGATAATTATATACTAAAGAAGGCATATTAAAAGAAAAGTCTGTGGGATAAAAGATTCCTTCATGCCTTTCTGCCACAGCTATTTGGATAGTGCTGAATTGTCTTGCTATTTGATGATTTATTTTATGCCCCTATTAGCCACTCCTGGTGGACTATAAGTTTTATTTAAATTGTATTCACATGTCACATATTCAAACGGTTTCTTAATTACTAGAGGTAAAGATAAAACTTTAAAACATCTTTCTTTTCTGTAGAGATTATTTGGTTGAAAACAAAACCCAGAAAACAACCAATAATTCTGTAAGAGACAGGAAAACCAAACAAAAGACTTGCGGAATGTCTTTTCAGATGAGATGGGATTCTTAGTGAGAAGAAACATTAATAATAGGAAAGTACAAATCCCTGATATGTACTGGATACCGAATTTTACTGATACTGAATTATTGTGTTGGCTTTTTGGTTATTTCATTATCTAACACAGTGTCTATGGATATTCTCAGTTATCCAGGTCATGGTTATCCCAAAGGCGCTTTTTCAAAAGGCAACTAGACTTTCTTTGTTTTGCTTGAAGATGTTTCACTTCTTATCCAAGAAGCTTCTGAAGAACTGTCCAATTACCTTTTGAAAAAGCACCTTTGGGATATCTAGTACAGTGTTTCTCAATCTTTCTCAGTGATGGAGGTTTCTGGAAGCTAGTCCATATATCTTAAAGTTGCTAAGATTGAGAAATACTGGTGTAGAGATAGATATATTACCTTAGATTAGAAAGAAGTAGGAAGAAAAGAATGGGAAGCACGGGGACCATATTATTTCAAGGTAATTCTTTTGAATGTCCTTGACATTCAAGTTGATTTATAGCTATGAGAAAAGATAAAAGTTCAATAGTATCTGTTTGATATTGTCCTTTGGGTTTGTCATAGTGTACCTGTGTAGTCTCAGGAAAATGTAAGGTTTTTAAGGACTTACTGACAGATGCTGTGTTAACATTTCACACGCTTCAGAGCATCTCTTTCCTTTTAAATCCAAAGTGCTGCGTTGCTCAGAGTACAGGGTCCTAAAATAAGGATTAAAATATTTGTCTTATATTCTCTAGTGTCTGCTGAAGTTGGAAATAAGGT